TTAGCGAACAAACACACACACAGACTTTCTTCTTTATATATATATATAGAGAGAGAGAGAGAGAGAGATTATTCTAGCAACCGAACATCACTCAAAATAGTTCATTATCCAAGCACAGCAATATAATCTCATTAACAGTTGCAATAAAATGTCAGTTTCTTAATTGAAATTATTAATTAGTCAGATTATAATTAAACTATAACGATATATTTTTATTCATTTATCTTTTTTTTTTTTTTTTTAATCACAACGTCACTAAATAATAAAGAAATATCTGCATCTGGCACGTTCGTGCGTAATAGACATAAACATAAACATTGCTTAATTCCAACATCATGTCTGTCACCCTGCCATAGTGACACTGTAAACTCGACATGGAACTCAAGAACATTGACCCACAATTCCCGCATCGTATCATCTATATATAGAATTACAGTATCAATAAGCTTAACAACGGGCGGCACTTTTTAACTCGGTGACAGCAGTGGTTATTTTTAGCTTCAGAAAGGATGAAGGAACACGCTAGAATAATCTGTCAAAACCTACCTTCCAATGCCCAATTTTAAGTTTTGGGGGAAAAAATCACCGTTTTTTACTTTGAAAAACACCATTTGTGTGTATTTAATTGTCTCCCATGCACCGAACCTCCTCCTGGAAACTACGCTACAAGAGCGGGGTTACACAATATCCGGTTTCGTGTTCGTCCCTCATCCCTCCGGAAGTGACGTTGGGAAGTCTCCGACCATGAGGAACCAGAGAGCGCAACAGGTGACGACGATGCTGGGGGTGGGTGGACCACAGTGGTACAGTGACCTTCAGCATAGCAACTTATAGTAAGGAAATAAGCGTTCATGGTTCCATAGCCAACAGTTCATTGCCTTCGTGGCGACAATGCGTATAAAATTACAGTTGGTCGACTCAAAAAAACATCAACGAAAAGATATTAAAAACTTAAATAAATCTACAGCTTTCCGCAGTATTTCTGTTCTAACTTTAATACAATTTTTCACTCCGTAGTTCACTACACAAGTAGAAAAAAAGAAAATGTTAAAAATATGTACAGGTAAAATCTAACATTCTACATTACTGTTTTACAGATTATAATAAAAGCTAAACATTTCACCAATCACGTACTTCTCGATCAATTTACAGGAAAATATTTAGTTTATTAAAGACAGTTGATTAAATAGTATCAAGTTTATGTCCAAAGTCCGCATGAAAATCCGAAAAAGTTAAAATAGTAATGCAGTCTTATCTCTTACGACAGAATATAGATCCAAACGGTCGAAAACACACGGGAAATGGAATACTATTGTGCATTTTTAACAATATTTTTTCCACAACTCCATGGTATATGGTTAGAAAAACTGTATTTAGTCAGTTCAATTAACAGTTTTATATTAATTTAACAACATTTTGGTAAATTAATATGTTAATCTATCGCAAATTTATTTACATTTTGTATTACAAATGGAGAAAATAATTTTGATGAGTACGTTTTCACAGAAAATTCATTGTGAAAATGTAGATGTGTCACATATTTTAATATCGATCAATGAATAGTTCCAAACTAAAAAACACGTTGGTTTACAATATATTGTTATCTATTTATTTTAAAAAGCTTTGTAAAATGTCTTGTGAATACTTTAGCAAATTATAAATGAAAAACCGTTCTAGTAAAATATAAATGTCTACCCTTGTAAAATGTCTTGTATATGTTTAGCCTTGTAAATGCCTACCCTTGTAAAATGCGTACTCTCTCAAAATGTCTTATATATATTCTAGTAAACTATAAATGTCTACACTTTTAAAATGTTTTGTAAATGTCTACCATTGTAAAATGTCTTGTAAATGTAAAATGCTTGAAACATGTTTTGTAAATGCAAAGGTCTTGTAAAATGCAAGTATCTTGTGTCTTGCAAAATGTCTAGTAAACTCTAAATAAAAACTGTTCTAGTAAAACCTAAATGTCTACCCTTGAAAAATGTCTTGTGAATGTCTACCCTTGTAAAATGTCTGGACACATTACTAGAGTAAGGTAATGAAAAGCAGTGCAAAAATACTGCCAACGACACTGAACATGATGATTAGTTAAAATTTTTCCTGTTACTTTTTATCCACCTAAAATAGTAGTATTCAAAGTAGGACCTATTGAACCTATCGAAGGCTTTGGAATTTCTAGCAAACGTTACACAGGCCCATGGGCAGTTCCCTGTCCTCTTTAAGGTGGGCAGTTTTGAACCTTGGAGGTAGCCATCCACCTAAAATAGTCGTCTTCAAAGTAGAATACACGGACCTCTCGAAGGCTTTAGAATTTCTAGCAAACGTCATACAGGCCAATGGGCCGACCCTTGAAAGTAAGCAGTTTTCGAGCTGACAAGTAATGTTACAGTAATATTATTATAAGAATTAAATATAATTTATTTAATATCTTAGTATATTTATTATAGAATAATATGACGATGCATTTCTACCCCCCTCCAATAGCATTACTTTCCGCATAATATTAGGAAGGAAAAAATTCTAATAATGTACGCCATGTATTAAAAAAACAAAGACACACACACACGCACAAAAAAAAAAAAAAAAAAAAAAGGCTAACAAACAAACAAAAAAAACTATTGAATGATACTATGCACATGAAATTTTCATTAAAAAATGAAAATATGCTTCTTATTATTTGCAATGACAAATTTTTATTGGCAAAGAAATAACAAATGTTAACTTAATTAATCTTTCTTAATATAATTAATTAATTGCAATTATTTTATTAGTTCATATACATGTGTATGTTCATACACACATACATAATTTAGATACACAATTATGTATAATTTACATACACGATATAATACATAATTTACATACACAATTATTAATACATAATTCATATACACATACATGCATGCAACTATGCAAAAATGTACGGGGGTTGCAAAACGTTAGATGAAACAAGAGGGCAGTAACCTAAAAAATTTTGAGAAATACTTAGCGCGGAAAAAATTTAATGGTCGCCAAAGATACAAAACCCTGGCGACTTTTGGCGTTCTTTTTCAGGTGTCCACTGACGTAAAACACCGGCCGCTAAAAAAAAATAATAATAAGGCAACCATAGTTTACGGACAATCTTAAGTTCGCGATCTCTCTCACAGGAGTAAACTAAAAATAGCTTTCAGGATGGCAACCGCGGGCTTCTCTCAGAAAGATGAAAAAGAGGAGGAGAGGTAGAGAATCTCCTCCCAAAAAGTTAGAGGGGGGTAACCTAAGGAACCAAACGACAGAATTTGTTGTTCTCTTCGACAGAAAAATCACCTGTGATTTCCCGCGGCCCTTTGTGTTACATTTTAGAGATTTCGTTTTATTTTATTCTGAAAAGAAACTACTGTCCAGACACAGGTCTATCCATGCAGCTATTATTCAACAACTTTTATGAATTGAGGGATTTTTCTGCATTTCCGTAAAAATCCTTGAGAATTTTTGCGAGGTGCTATTATCATATGCTCACCCGGAAATCACATGGTGTGTGAATAGCTGAACAAACCGATCACTAAAGATCATTTGTGTATGATATTGTGTCTGCTGCCAGATTACGAATGCACAGAAAGCAAAGATTAATCATAATAATCCGAAAACTACCTATACTCTACACATATTACACAGCACATAAAACATTCTTTCCGCTAGCAACGATAGCCTCTGTAAATTCTCAGTCAAACTGCTTTAGATCGTAAGGTATTTCACACGAACTAAATTATCCATATGCAATATACGTTTTCACATTGAGTTTATTATTATCTTAATATACATGTGAATACCAACAAGCGAATATTTGAACCCACATTTAATGTTCATGTGCTAGCAATCAATTAATTTTGATAAAATTTTGCTAATTTTCAGGCATGAAATATTAATTTTTCTGAAAGTATATGAAAAGTGAAAGAAATCTCGAGGAAAAATTTCATTAAAATGGTTTTTAATTTTCAAACACAATTTATAAGGTATTTTTTTCCTCCTTTCTGCATGGATTGTTAAGGGTTTTTTTTTACACCAATGATGAGTTCGCAATCTACTCAGTCTTCTATTATACCCACTCCACTCTTTTTTGTCTTTTTAACTTTATTACTAAGCGGAATTTTTTTAGCACTTACACCCTATACAATTCAACAACAAAATTACAAAGTTTTAGAACCAGTATAGTAGTATACGTTTAGTTCCCGACGCAGCGTTAGGTGCTGGCATATATTTTTCCGTGCCCCCCAATCTTTTTCTCAGTTCATCATACCAATGTTCAGTTTTCGAACTAAGATGGCTTTACAAAACTTTTTTTGTCTTCTTATTATTAACGTAGTGTGTGTTTACTTCATTTATTAAATATTATAATGTATTTCTCCCGCCTTCTTAACATGCCTTCGTGGTGTAACGGTAAGCACACTCGGCACGTATATTCGAGAGGTCCAGGTTCGAGTTCCGGGAAGGGCACTGCTCATTTTTCACGTCTCCAGCATCAAAATAACCTAATTATTCTATAGTGGCGCCCGAACTAAAAAAGTTGGTGTATGATGATTCTTCACCACCAGGATTTGGCGACTGGATCCCCTAATCCCTAGTCGCTCTTTAAGAAGGGGAGTAATTTCTCCATCCTTTCTGCATACCTTCGCAGTGTAACTGGAAGCACACTCGATATGTATTCGAGAGGTTCAGGTTCGAGTCCCGACGAAGGCACTGCACATTTTTCACATCTCCTGCTTCAAAAATAACTTCTGTCTCTACAACTTAAGAGCACAATGTTTCTGATATTAATGCGTGTGAGTCATTCATAAAATGCCTCATGATAAGTTTTGTGCAGTTAATGTAGTATTATATTACATTAAATAAGCTATCGCTATTCTATAATTCCCTTTCACGGAGCTTCTGCTGCTTTGAAATAGTATATATATTTAAAGAAATTTGGCTAAGAATAACAAAGAATATTTAAGCAGTTAAAAAAAAATGCAACTTACAAGTACGTGAAGACTCTGACAGTTCTTTCAAATTTTGTTTACTTCTTGTACAGTTCTGTTGCGATATCATGACGAGAATGGAAGATTAGAAACCTATGAGATTAAAAAAAAGTGGAATTTAGATAATCGTACTGTGAGTCACAAAATATAACAAACATGCATTTAATACGTACTTGATAAACATACGTATGACAAGAATATAAAAAAATTGCGGCCTTCACTTACACTTATTCCCATTATATTTAAGGAAACTGAAACGTATATAAACTTTAACTTGAAATACAGCTGAAGGATATCATTGAGGATCGATATAAGGGAAAATTGACGATGATGGCTAATACATAACACATAAGATTTCAGTTTATTTTCAGAAATACGTAATACGTTTTCGTAAAGTTACAAGCAATATATATAATGTAATTCCTTATATCAACTGTACCCTGTTTAATCTTTTTGATTCAGCTTTACAATCATTTTAAAAATGATATTTAAACTCAACATGAATATCAAATATATAAATAAATAAATAAATAAAATCAGATTTTATATTACGTCCAAAGGGGCATTTTTTAGCCTTTTGTGTATTACCTTTATTTATTAAATATCAAGTTCTTCGCACTTAAACCGTAAAATTCAATTCAACAGCAATATCACAAAATATTTAAAAGATCATACCTTTAGAATTTCCGATACACAGTTTCGTGCGCTGAAGATTTATTAATATTTTTTTCTTTTTTCCCCTCCGGACAGCGTTGCCATTGCTCGCTTTGAAATACTACAGTTTCTTAATCAAAAACTCATAAATGCTTTACAAAATACGAAATAGGTATTAAAACAAATTCCAAATTTGGGCTTCTAGATGCCCATATGCGGGTGGAGACGTACACCATTCAAAATTGGATGGCCCTAAGTATCGTTGTTTTATCACAGTGCGAGAAACATACATACATACATTTATGCAGATTCTTCATTGTTTAATTTCTTCAAATATAATACAGGTTTCTAATATGTATTGCTTTGGCAGTACATATACTAAAATTGGAACAGGGCTCTAATATTTGGTGGCAACAATCTGAAAAGTGAAACAATGCTTATCCTGAATCGACGCAAAATGCCAAAACGAAATTAATAGCCCTTCTGGGCTAACGTCCTTTCGGCTAATAAATGGATGGAATTTCGATAATATTGGAAATCCCCGCGAAATTCAGGCATTGGATAGTTCAATGACTGTTGGTAATTTCGAGTTTCAATGAACTGTCAAAAATAAAAGTTTCTCAAATGAAATTCCCTCGTGATTTGATTTTACAATATATGACGCAATGAACCATCGCCGCATTAGGATGCCTCTTGTAGAGTAATTTAACAAGCTGCCCTATCATCAAGACATGATAGGAAAGTATAGAGAGGGGGGGGAAAACGCAACTAGCAACACTGTTGCATTTTTCCCTAAGGCAAAAAATAAATAAATAAACAAATAAATATAATAAAATATTTTTTTTAAATCCGGAAAAATTGCAGATCTCGTTACTACATGACATTGGTTAAAAAAAAAAAAAAAAAAAAAACTTGAAAGCTTATCATTGATTTCAGGACAATGACTTCAAAGTTGGAGAATTCATTTAGACTCGAGAAGAATTTTTTCTCACACGTTCTTTAGTGAGAGAAGAAGGAAATATCACAGCCAAAATTCTTTATGTACGTACGTAATTAGACTTTCAGAAAGAAATGAAAAAGTATCAAAAAGAGGAAGACAATAATAGTTACTATGAATGCTATAGTCATGGATATATCTTTAAGGTGAGCAGCATTTGAAACAAAGGGATTAAAGGAAGGTTAACAACCTGTCGATATTTATTTTGGAACGTTATTGATGGTAGTTATTATTTTTTCCTTTTCGATTTCTAAACAGAAGACGCTCTGCTGCGTTTCGTATTAAACGAAAGCTGAGTAATTAAATCCTTATTATACTCACAATAAGTGAGTCTTGCTGTAAAAACAGCTGCAGTGAAGCATTTCCCATACTAAGCTCAACAGCTAAGAAAGCTGATACTGTAAATCTCCAGTACATGCTCAAACATCAGTACTGGCATAAAAGAAAAAAGAAATCTGTCTCCGTGTTATAAGCCATTAATAAACAGCAACTAACAAAGCAAATGAAAGAAAAATTTATTACGCACAGTATTATTATGCTAGGCTAGCCTAGCAAGAGTTCGCTACTAGAGCTAAACCAATTAATATTGGATACGCAGTCGAAATAGATTAATATCACATTAAAAAAAAAAAAAAAAAAAAAAAACTGAAAGTTTTCAGATTTTACATTACACCCAAAAGGCCGTTTTCTTAACGTTTTGTGTATTACCTTTAGTTATTAAACATCATATTCTTCGCACTTAAAACAATACATAAAATTCGATTCAACAGCAATACCACAAAATATTTAAAAACAGCAAAATAGCATGTCTTTAGAATTTCTGATGCATACTCTCGCGCGCTGGATATAAATTTTTTTTACCGTACAGTGTTGCCACTGCTCGCTTTGAAATCATTGAGTTTGTTAATCAAAAAGTCGTCAAACTTTTACAAAATTTTAAATATATAATAAAACAAACTCAAAATTCGGGATTCCAAGTGCTCATGTTCGGTTGGAGAACTACGTTACTCAAAATTTGATGGTTCTAAGAAGCGTTCCATTTTCCTGCCAGAATGTAAATTTCTAGCTCGTGTGATATCCAAATGAGGTAGAAAGAAGATAGTATTTAAAGAAAGGTTTCAGAAGGTAGGATTAGAGCGTGTTCCGCCTGCTTGAAGGACAAATTGCTAGTTTGATTCTCTTGCTAGTATTCTATGGCGTTGCTTTGTTCTCGCCATTAGGCCTTGTTGCGCCCACCGACCTTACGTCAGAGCCGGCTTGCACGTTATGCTAGTTCTGCAACCGTTAGGTTAGCTTACTTGTCTTAGTTTTAGTTCATCCATTATCTTTGATTTTAAGCTACAACTGTTGGCGCTTTGTAAGCAGGAGTTGATGTCGTCTGTTAACTTTTAGTTAAGTCAAATAAAAGCGTATTTTACATCTTTTCTCTGTCTCTGTGGTACTTACAAGACGTAGCGAAAATTCGCTTGCAGTCTTCAAATTTCTCGTAGATTTGATGTCACCTACGAACACGAGACTCACGATAAAATACAGCAGAACTTTGATTTATCTTTGCCGCAACGATCGGTTCCCAGCATGTTTTGATAGCCATCTTTGTTGCTGAATAAATTTCTATGTGAATATATTATTTATTTCCGCTTCCATCGTTCCTCGAACTACCGTTTTACCGCATTAACCGTTTGCAAATCCCGTTCCCAATGCAGTATTTTCAGCACGAATCACTCGGGAAAAAATTTGAAGCAGAGTATATATTTATTGTTTTTATTATACAGTTTTAGTATTTAAATCTGGCAACAGAATAATACAGCAAGGCTTCGCATGCAGTCCTTTACTTCATGCTCGCGTTTCTAGCGTCTTTGTTGCAAACTGTGATAAATTTACTTCTGTAAAAAATGTAGGCTTAGCTTTCAGTTTCTATCTAAAAAGGGGTTTAGAGGAAGAAGACAGAGAAAGTAAAAATGAACAAGATCTGATGTGGAGTTTCGCCGAGATAAAAAAGCTTTACAAAAAATACAAATCTCTTTTATACGTTAAGTCGAAGCGAAGCGAACCGTAAAAATATTTTAATTCTTAAAAATCGCCTTTCCAACTGACGTAAAATTCCGCAAGAAGTGAAAGATAAAGAATGTCTTTTTTGTTAAAAAGTAGCATTTTTATGTAGTGCATTCGTGTTGAAAACAATAAATATTTAAAATTTGCAATCTTTACTTATTTAAAAATATATAACAGCTTCCCGGCTTAATCATTTCTTGGCTTCGATCCACTGAAAAATGATCCGCCGAAGTTCCAATTTGTCTGTGCATGTATACATATATGTGTGTGTGTGTGTGTAATACCATAGGAAAAGCTGATGGCATAGATACGAATCCGTACTGATGAGCAAATTTGGCCCCCTAATCGTGCTTATTTCAAAACTTTTACATTTTTTGACATTGTTGCGATAGGAACAAAACAGCGTGACACCTTAACGGCGAGAAAAGTAGAAGCAAAGTGCGCAGTTATCCAATATGGCAGCTTATTAAAAGAAAGGTTTTCAGTTCCTGAAATTTTAAGTTCGGAATTAGCTATGGCACATCGTCATGTAAAACTCATATAATAGGATTAATCTAGAAATGACGCAGTTTAGGAAAAGTTATTACTATTTTTAGAACTGAGAGGAGAAACACTTAAATTAAAATTAAGAATTAACGGGCTATTGCTAATTTAAATTATAATTTATATTTACATATTTTTTATCTTACACATATTTCCATTTGTGTTTTTCAATTTCCTTTAAGTTTAATATAAAAATTTGATGAAATCTTTTTACGGTTTTTGATCTTAAATGGACCAGGCGAAGAAACATATTATAATCGACATTTATGAAGCTTTAATTCATTTTCCCCTGATGAGTTCTGAATTGGAATTTCAACAAAAGGAGATTTTTTTTATTTGTATAATTTTGTACATTTTCCCTTTCGCATTTTTATTTTTTGAGATTGTTCGACTATGAATTCTTTCTTTAATTGGATTAGTTTTGATATTGTGTTAAACCTCTTATACAAGCTTGCAATTATTATATTATAGAGGAATTCCCTTGCTTTCATTCCAATTTACTAATTAATTTAGATGCTTTAAGTTTATTCTACTTTAATCCTGCAACTATAGCAAAAGACGGGTTTAAAAAAAAAACTTTATTCGAATTTTTAGCCTATTTACATATTTCTTTATATATATATATATAGATAGATAGAAAGAGAGAGACGATTAGATACCAAATTTTATAAATATTCGTATCCCGTATTTACAAAAGAATAATAAAAAGGTTGCAAATGCTGAAATAACATTGACAAATAGCAATTTATATTCATTATTATTCTTCTTCTTCTTAACAACTACACAGTATCATTCTAAAAAAAAACATAAAGTAAAATTTTAAAATTTTCAGTTACAATTATTCTGC